AGGAAACAGCACCACCCTGCTCAAGGCTCAACGAGGCCCATGGAATGCCTCATGACTCAACAGGGTCTGTCCCATTCATGGCCATGCATTGGGCACAACTTTAAATCTCTACAGCTTGACTCCATGGGCCCTATTACCCACCTTTCTCCATGAATGGAGAGCTCCTGTGTGACCCCATGGCGTCCCAGGCCCTATTGGCTCCCTCAGGTGGCCTGGGCAGTCCTTGAGGCCAGACTCAAACACCTAGACTCATCTGGGAGCTACTATGTGTAAGACTGAAGGAACCCTGTCCTGCCTGGACCACCGCTTGTCTCTGCAGGGCTCCAGGGAAGGCATCCCTGGGTCCGGATTTGAAGCCACCCTTGGTGGACCAACCCAACCCTCCCCGGGTGTGGATTCAGGTTCGCCCCGGGAGGAAACCCTTCCTGTCCCAAAGGCTGACCCTCAATGACTCCACATGGCCTGGCCCATGGTCCATGAGATGGCAGCAGGTGGATCCACTCACCCATGCCGGTAAATGCCAGGTGCCCTGCCTGGGTTGAAGACTTGACGAAAGACACAAGTGGAGAAGTGGGCTCATGAGTGAGCTCCACGTGCCCCACCCCAGGGAACTGGACCACCAACAGCAAGCCCGCACAGTGGAGCCTGGGCCGCTCTCACGGAGGAGTGCAGAGACAGGGTTGGCCCCCAGATGCCCTTCAGGGCCTCCAGGCTCCAGCCCAAAACTAATAAATAAAGCCCCCTACCGGGGCCTCCCGGGATCCCAGCATCCTCTTCCAAATTCTCATCTAGGGTGAGCTCCCACAACCTGTTTGGTTACCCAACCCTGCCCATTACCTTTCAGATAATATAAGGTTTTCATTATTGATTTAAATTAGGGTAATTTTTTTCTTTAGAGGAGTGGATCTAGTGGGACTTCCGTGACGTGCTTACCACAGCCTGTGCGGGGACGACAGGCAGGTCCCAAGCTCAGCACACCAGGGTGGGCACCTGGCTGATGGCTACTGGTCTGGGTCCATTGGGCCCAACGCAAGTTTTCCTCCAGGCTCACTCATTATCTGGGGGACAGGAAGAGGACATGTGTCCAAACAAGGCCTCATCCTTTCATGTGGGAAAGGGGTAAGGTATACCCATGTGATGGGGTCCATGAGGAACACTGACTATCATGGACATGGGGAGCCCTTGGCCCTCCCCATCACCAAACCCTGAGAAAACAGGGTAGGTAGGTCTAAGCTCAGGCAAGATGCCCAGACTGCACCCTACCGATGGCCTTGATAGCACCTCCACTGCCCAAGCTGTCTGCCCCACACAATACCACAGAGCTACTCGGAACAACAGGCACAGGAACCAAACTTTCATGGCCAGCCAAGGAGAATGGGCTCAGAAGCTGGGTGTACCACTGTGGACGTGGAAGGACAGTCTGTCCAGGGTGTGGTGGGTACTTCAGGTGCTATTTGGTGTGGTAAGCCACACCTGAAATCAAAGCCTCGGAGTCCCAGGCCACATGCTTTCTCTGGCGGGTCCCCATCCATGTCCCGCAAATGTCCTAAACACAGAGTCAGGCCACCCTTGGGCAACCATGGGCTACATAGTGTCCTCTCTTTCCTTAGCCTCAAGACCCCACCTGCCACACTCCTGGAGGTGACCCCATGGCTCAGAAGAGGCCTGGATAGCAAATTCCCAGGACAGGACCATCGACAGTGGGTCTTCTGACCTCAGGATCCACTCTTTCCAGCCACCACCAACCAGCAAGGGTGATTCCCAGCAGGACCAGGCTGCCAAATGGACCAAAGCCCAGAAGAACCTGGGCCGGCCTGCAGCATCACCAGGTGCTGGCCAGAGCTCAGCCTTGACCCAAACCCAGGGAAACAGTACCGCCATGTACCAGGCTTAAAGAGGCACTATTGAGATGGCCCAATTACTCAACATGGTCGGTCTCAGTTAGGGCCATGGTTGGGATGCAATCCTGAATCTCTGGTGCCTGAACCTACGTGGGCCCATTTGAGCACCTCTCCAGGGAAAGAGAGTTTCATGTGGCCCCTGGGGCAAATTCCCAGAGCACCTGGGACATCCGTCATGTGGCCTGGGCAGTCCTTTGAGGCCAGACCTTGCATACCAAGTCTCAGCTGGGAACTGGGCCCCACATGGGAATAAGCCGACCCTTTCCTGCCTAGACCACTGTCATCCCTGTAAGTCTCTAGGAAAGGCATTCTCTGGGTCTGATTCCCAAGGAAGCCAGCCTCCTGAGAAACCACTCCTCCCCAGCGGATTCAGTCAGCTCCTGAGAAACCTTCTTTCCCAAGGGCTGAGCTCAGTGACACCACACAGCCTGGCTCATGGCCCACGATGCCAGCAGAATGCACTCACCTATGCGCATCAAAGTCGTGGGGACCCACCTGTCAGAAGAGCTTCACTGAAATACAGAAGACACAAGAGGAGAACAGGGGCCTGTGAAGGACCTGCAAGGAGCCCTACCCCAGGAACAGGAGAGAGTTCAACACTAAGCCCACAGAGGGAGCCTGGGGGCTGCCTCATGTAGAAAATGCAGAGACAGTGGGCAGAGCTCTGCAAAGATGTTGCTCAGGGCCTGGATTTCTCCAGTCCAAAAATACAGAGCCCCCTGACAGGGACCTAGAAATCCCAGCATCCTCTTCCAAAATTCTCACCTAGGCTGGGCCTCAGCGTAATCCTATTGAGCATGATTTTTAAGTCATCACCTTTCTTCAGAACAATATAAGGTTCTCATCATTGACCCAACCCAGGGCACTAACCCTCAACCCATGCATGCATCCATTGGGACTCAGATGGGCTCACCAGAGCTCTGTGCAGGAGACCAGGCACCAGGAAGGGCCAGAGCCAGCTTATCAGGGGCTGGCAGCACCCGGCTGAGGGACACTGTGTCAGGCCAGCAGGCCCAATGCAATTCTTCCTCCAGGGTCACCATCTGGAGGGGTGAGGAACAGGTGTCCAAACAGGGCTTCATGCCTCCACAGGGGAAAGTGGGCAGGGGGTGCTAGCTCACACATGCTCTCCCTCCATGGACTCACAAGGAGATGATATCCATGTAACAGTGACAGTCATGCACGTGAGGAACCCTTGGCCCTCTCTCTGCCGCTGAACCTGAAAGAACAGGCAGATGGATCATGATTCCAGTAAGACGCCAGGCTGCACCCTACTGCAGGACACTGAGCACCTCCACTGCCCACGCCAGCCCCCCCACACAACTCTGGGCCTCATAATGGGACCACTGGGCAGGGCCAGGGCCACCAACCAGCTCACGGCAAACCAAGAAGGCTGGCCTGGACGCCATGCGCCACTGTAGACCTGGCGGTCACATAGCCTGCCCCTGGGCATGGAATGCACACATTCATGCACCCTCCATAAGCTCATACCAGAAATACCATCCTGGGGCCCCAGGGCCACGTGCCTTCTCTGGTGGGTCCCCATTCATGCACCTCACACCTCCCAAACACAGAGCTGGGCCACGCTCTGCCAATCAGGGGCCACATAATGTCCTCTCTCTTTTTGGCTCAAGACCCCATCACCCTGGAAGTGAACCCATGACTCAGAAGCAGCCTTGGCAGCAAATTGCTGGGACAGGACCCTTCACAGTGGCCCTTCCACCACAGGATGCCACCCTTCTGGCCACTCCACTATGGGGAGGGGTGAACCCAATGGGACCTGGCTGCACCCTTGGCCCAAAGCCCACGATGCCCAAGGCCAACCATGAGGTGACAGCCAGAGCTCAGCCTTGACCCAACCCCACCGAGGCTGCGCCACACCCACCAGACTCAACGTGCTACCACCAAGATGGCCCACTGCTCCATTGCTCAACAGGGTCGGTCCCATTCGGGGCCATAGGTCATTCCTGACCCTTGAATGTTCAGGTCTGACTCGTAAGCCAGATAAGCCACACTGTCTCCTGCAAGCCTCGGGGACACAGAGAGCTCCATATAAGACCTGGCCCCAGACCCTGGGAATGCCCTCATATGGCCTGGGGCAGTCCTCCAGACTGACCTGTGCACCAAGTCTCACCTAGGATCTGCACTGCATTGGGTTGAAGGAACCCTCTCCTGCCTGAACCTCTCTTACTCCTGCAGGGTTTCGGGGAAGGCATCCGTCTTGGGACTGATTTCCAAGGAAATCTCCCAACTGGAGAAACCATCCATCCCTGGTGGGGATTCAGGCCAGCCTTGAGGAAACACTCATGACCTGGAAGCGTGACACTCAGGACCCCACCCCAGCCTGGCTCATGGGCCATGACCCCAGTAGGATCCATTCACCTGAGGCCCCATCACTCATGGGAGGTGACCCCATAGCTCAAAAGCAGCCTGGACAGCAAATTTCTGAGACAGGATCTTCCACAGCAGGCTTTCCCACCTCAGGAGGACACTCTTCCTGCCACTTGCACACACAAGGAAGGGTGACCTGATGGGACATGGGTTATCCCCTTGTCCCTAAGCCCACCAATCCCAGGTGACTGCACCACCATCAGATGCTGGCCCGAGCTAGTCTCAACTCACCCTGGGAGGGAAACAGTGTCGACCCGCACTTGGTGGCTCACAAGCACCACTGGGATGGCCGATTGCTTAATAGGGTCAGTCCCATTCACGGCCATGAGTTTGAAAGCATCCTGAAAATCCACAGCCTAAACCCATGGGCCGAATCACACACACCTCTCCAAGGTCAGAGAGCCTGTGCATGAACTCCTCTTGGTGCTCCCAGAGCCCTTGTGTCCCCTTCATGTGGCTCAGCCATCCCTAGAGACCAGACCTGGAGGATCGAGTCTCAGCGACACTGCCCTGAATGAGGTGGTGGAAACCCTTTAATGCCTGGACTAATTACAACCTCTGCAGGGCTTCAGGGAATGTATCCTCCTTGGTCTGATTCTGTGAAGCAGCCCTAGAGAACCAATCCCAGGTGGGCATTCAGGAAGGCTCCAAGGAAGTTCTTGCAGCTGAAGACTGATGCTCGAAACCCCACACAGCCTGGCTCATGGGTTGCCATGACCCCAGCAGGATCCACTCACCTATGCCGGTCAATGTAAGGGGGTCTGCTGGGCACAAGAGCTCACTGAAAGACACAGGGGAAAATGGGGGCTCAGGAAGGAGCCACTAAAGTGCCCCCACCCTGGGTAACAGCAGCGCTGACACCAAGCCCACATAGTGAGCCTGGGCTGCCTCATGGAGGAGCGCAGAGACAGGGTTGGGCACCCTCTAGATGCCCTCAGAGCCTCCAGGTCTCCAGCCCAAAATATAGTGGATTTCACAGCGAACTCATAATTCTACATCCTCTCTTCTGCCTCACCCAGGCTGGGCCTCAGCGTAATCCTATTGAGCATGATTTGCAGGTTATCACTTCTTCAGACAATATAAGATTCTCATCATCGACTCCAACCCAGGGCACCCTCTCATCAATGCATCCAGTGGGACTCCGGATGCTCACCATAGCTCAATGCAGTGAGACGAGGGCACTGGTGGGAAGGGCCCCATCTTCGGTGTACTGGGGCTGGGCACCTGATCGATAGACACTGGCCCAGGCCATTGGGTCCAATACAAGTCTTCCTCTTCAAGGTTCAACATCTGGGGAAACAGGCCAGGACAGGTGTCCAAACACAACCTCAACCTCCATGGAGGCAGAAGGTGGGGTGTGGCGGCTCAGATGCCTGCCTCCATGGACCTATGTGATGGGTTCCTATGTGGAACACTGGCCCGTTGCAGATGCAGGCACCCCTGTGCTCTCTCAGTCACCAGTCCTTGAAAGGACAGGGCAGGCGGGTCACTGGGCCGGGCAAGAAGCCTTCAGCTGTGCCCTCACTGCAGAGCCCATGGTTAGCTCCCACTGCCCATGCTGTTTCCACCGCATGACCCCAGCATCATATCAGGTCTAATGGGCACAGACCAGGGCCACCAAACAGTTCATCGCCAACCAAGGAGGCTGGCCCAGATGACAGATGCCACTGCAATGCTGGCAGTCACATATCCTGCCCCTGTGCACTGTGGGAACCTCCACCCACGTGCTCCTATCACAGCACGTACTAGAGTCCTGTACATGCCTGGGGTCCCAGGGCCACATGCTCTCTCTGGTGGGTCCCTATTCATGCCCCACACACCTCCTAACACAGAGCAGGGCCACACTTGGCTATTCGGGGACACAGGTGACTTCTCATTTCCTTGGGCACAAGACTTACCACCTCAGTGGTGACCCCATGGCTCAAAGCAGCATGGGCAGCATATTCCAGGACAAGACCCTTGATAGCAGGCCTTCCAACTCAGGAGGCCACCCTTCCAGACACTTGCCCACAGGAAAGGGGGTAAGGGGTGAATTCCAGCCAAGGAGAGAACCTCAGCAATACGTGGGCTGACCCCTTGGCCTAAACCTAACGAGTCCATGGTCAGACTGCAGCAACACCAGGTGCCAGCCTGAGCTCAGCTTTGACCCAAACCTAGGGAAATAGCACTGCCCCCTCCAGGCTCAAAGAGGTGCCACGGGTTGGCATTTGCTCAACATGGCCCATCCCATTCAGGACAATAAGTCATGTGCGATCCTGAATATCTGCAGCTCAACTCCATGGGCCCTAGCCCACCTTTCTTCAGAGATACAGAGCTCCTGTGTGACATCACAGCATCCCGGAGGCCCTGTGGACCTCCCCTCACACTCAGGACCCCACTCGGCTCTTGGCTCATGGGCCATGACCCCAATAGGATACATTCACCTGAGGCCCTATCACCATGGAGGTCACCCCATAGCTCAGAGGCAGCCTGGACAGCAAATTTCTGAGACAGGATCTTCCACAGTAGCCCTTCCCACCTCAGGAGGACACTCTTCCTGCCACTTGCACACAAGGAAGGGGTGACTCCTGATGGGACATGGGTTATCTCTTTGTTCTTAAGCCCACAAATCCCAGGGCGGGACTGCACCACCATCAGATGCTGGCCAGAGATAGTCTCGACTAACCTGAGGAAACAGTGCTGACTCCGCACTTGGCTCACAGAGGCACTCCTGGGAAGGCCGATTGCTTAATAGATCACTCCCATTCAGGGCCATGGGTTTGATGCGATCCTTGAAAATCCACAGCCTAATCCCATGGGCCGAATCACACACACCTCTCCAAGGTCAGAGAGCCTCCACATGAACCTCTTGGTGCCCCAGAGCCCTCGTGTCCCCTTCCTTCATGGCCTGGCCATCCTAGAGACCAGACCTGAGGACAGAGTCTCGAAGCGGACACTGCCCTGCATGAGGTGGAGGAAACCTTTAATGCCTGGACCACCACAACCCTGCAGGGCTTCAGGAATGTATCCTCCTTGGATCTGATTCCAAGGAAGCTGCCCTCCCAGAGAACCAATCCAGGTGGGGCATTCAGGAAGGCTCCTTAAGTAAACCCTGCAGCTGAAGACTTATGCTCGGAAACCCCACACAGCCTGGCTCATGGGCCATGACCCCAGCAGGATCCACCACCCACGCCCTACCGATGTGGTGGTTTGGTGGCAGAGTTTACTAGAGAGGAGGAGCAGAAGGAGGCATATAGTGTTCTACCTTTGTAATAGTAGTGTTGATACTTAGCCACATAGTGAGTTTAAGGGTTTTTATGGGAGGAGCGCAGAGACAGGCTGGGCACCCTCTAGATGCCCTCAGAGCCTCCAGGTTCTCCAGCCCAAAATATAGTGGATTTCACAGGGAACTCATAATTCCCAGCATCCCTCTTCCAAATTCTCACCTGGCTGGGCCTCAGCGTAATCCTATTGAGCATGATTTTTATGTCATCACCTCTCTTCAGACAATATAAGGTTCTCATCATCGACCCAACCCAGGGCACCCCTCCCCATCAATGCATCCAGTGGATTCCGGATGTGCTCACCATAGCTCAATGCAGGAGACGAGGGCATCAGGAAGGGCCCCATCTTCGGTGTACTGGGGCTGGGCACCTGACTGACAGACACTGGCCCAGGGCCATTGGGCCCAATACAAGTCTTCCTCAAGGTTCAACATCTGGGGAAACAGGAGTAGGACAGGTGTCCAAACACAACCTCATCCCTCCATGGAGGCAGAAGGTGGGGTGTGGCGGCTCAGGGATGCTCGCCCTCCATGGACCTATGTGATGGGTTCCATGTGGAACACTGGTCCGTTGCAGATGCAGGGCACCCTGTGCTCTCTCAGCCACCAATCCTTGAAAGGACAGGGCAGGCGGGTCACTGGGGTCGGGCAAGAAGCCCCAGCTGTGCCCTACTGCAGAGCCCATGAGCACCTCCACTGCCCATGCCGGCTCCACCGCATGACCCCAGCATCATGCCAGGCCTACTGGGTGCAGACCAGGGCCACCAAACAGCTCATCGCCAACCAAGGAGGCTGGCCCAGATGCCAGATGCCACTGCAAAGCTGGCAGTCACATATCCTGTCCCTGTGCACTGTGGAACTCCACCACGTGCCCTATCAGCACGACAGAGTTCTGTACATGCCTGGGGTCCCAGGGCCACATGCGCTCTCTGGTGGGTCCCCATTCATGCCCCACACACCTCCTAACACAGAGCAGGGCCACACTTGGCTATTCGGGGGACACATGGTGACTTCTCATTTCCTTGGGCACAAGACTCACCAACCTGGGGTGATCCTCTAGCGGCTCAGAAGCAGCATGGGCAGCATATTCCTGGACAAGACCCTTGATAGCAGGCTTTCTAACTCAGGGGCCACCCTTCCAGACATTTGCCCACAGGAAAGGGGTGAATTCCAGCCAAGGAGAGAACCTCAGCAATACGTGGGCTGACCCCTTGGCCTAAAACCCAACGAGTCCATGGTCAGACTGCAGCAACACCAGGTGCCAGCCTGAGCTCAGCTTTGACCCAAACCTAGGAAATAGCACCGCCTCTCCAGGCTCAAAGATTTGCCACGGGTTGGTGATATTGCTCAACATGACCCATCCCATTCAGGGCAATAAGTCATGTGCGATCATTGAATATCTGCAGCTCAACTCCATGGGCTCCTAGGCCACCGCTTCCAGAGATAGAGAGCTCCTGTGTGACCCCGTGGCATCCCGGAGTCCCTGTGGACCCCCTCATGTGGCCTACACAGTCCTCGAGGTCACAGCAGCACACAAAGACTCAGCTTGGAGCTGCCCTGTGTGTGAGACTGGGAAGGAACCCTCTCCTGCCTGACGACTGTCATCCCCACAGGACTCCAGGAAGGTGTACTCCTGGTCTGATTCTCAGGATGCCACTTTCCCAGAGGATCAACCTTCCATCCCTGGTGGGCATTCAAGTCTGCTCCTAAGGAAACCTCCCTGTCCCAAAGGCTGACCTCAGCGACCCACGCGGCCCTGACCTGTGGCCCATAACACCAGCACGATCCACTGACCTATGCCGCTCAATGCCAGGGTGCCCTGCCTGCATGGAAGAGCTCACTGAAAGACACAAATGGAGAAGGGGGCTCAGGGAGTGAGCTGCCTCATGCCCCACCCCAGGAAAACTGGACCACCAAGAGCAAGCCTGCACAGGGAGCCTGGGCTGCCTCACGGAGGATGAGACAGGGTTGGGCCCCCAGATGCCCTTCAGACCCTCCAGGTCTCCAGCCCAAAATACAGGGACTTGATGGGGACTTCGGGATTCCAGCATCTTCTTTCCAAAATTCTCACTAGGCTGGCTTCAAGGTAATCTTATTGAGCATCATTTTTTAAAGTCATCACCCCTCTCTTCAGGACAATATAAGGTTCTCATCATCGACCTAACCCAGACACCTCCTTCCTGCACAGGCATCCGGTGGGATCTCGGATGGGGGTCACCAGCTCAGTGCAGGAGACCAGGTCACTAGGAAGGTCCCAAGCTTCAGCACATCAGGGGCCGGGCACCTGGCTTTGGGACACTGGCCAAAAGACATTGAGCCCAACACAAGTCTTCCTCCGGGCTCACCACCTGGAGGGACAGGAGGAGGACATGTGTCCAAACCGGGCCTCATGCCTCCATGCGGCAAAGGGGTGAGGGTTACTCACGTGATGGGATCCACGCAGAACGCAGACCTATCATGGAAGTGGGGCACCCTTGGCAAACCACACTTGAAATCGAAGCCTGGAGTCCCAGGGCCACAGGCTTTCTCACAGTCCCCATCCATGTCCCGAGACATGTCCCCAAAACAGAGTCAGGCCACCTTCGCCACCCTGGCCACATGGTGTCCTCTCTTTCCTTAGGCTCAGACCCTGCCACCCTGGAGGTGACCCCATGGTTCAGAAGAGGCCTGGGTGGCAAATTCTGTGACAGGACCATTGACAGCGGGTCTTCCTACCTCAGGATCCACTCTTCCAGCCACTCACCGACATGCAAAGGGTGACCTCCAGGAGGATGTGGGCTGCCGACTTAAACCAAAGCCCACAAGTTCAAGGGCCAGCCTGCAGACAAGCAGGCAGTGACAGGAGCTCAGTCTTGACTCCAAACCCAGGAAGCAGTACCACCTCCCACCAAGCTCAAAGAGGTGCTGTTGATTGAGATGGCCCATTACCCAACACAGTCGGCTGCATTTAGGGCCATGGTTGATGCAGTCCTCGAATCTCTGCAGCTCAATTTACACAGGCCCATCTGAGCACCCTCTCCAGGGAAAGAGAGCTCGTGTGACCTCTGGCACCCCAGAGCCCTGTGGCCCCCTCATGTGGCCTGGGCCAGACCTGCACACCAAGTCTCAGCTGGGAGCTGCCCTGCATGGGACTGTGGGGACTCTTTTCCCGTCTGAACACTGTCACCCCTGTGAGGCATCAGGGAAGGCATTGTCTTGGTCTGATTCTAAGGAAGCCAGCCTCTTGCAGAAACCATCTCTCCCCAGTGGGGATTCATGTTGGCTCCCTGAGGAAACCCTTCTTTCCCAAGGGCTGACCTCAGTGACACCAGGCTTGTCATGCCCCATGATGCCAGCAGAATGCACTCACCTATGTGCGTCAATATCAGCAGGCCCACCTGGGCTGAAGAGCTCACTGAAATACAGAAGACACAAGAGGAGAACAGGGGCTCAGGAAGGACCCAGCAAGGAGCCCTACCCCAGGGAACAGAGAGCCAACACTAAGCCCACAGAGGGGAGCCTGGGCTGCCTCATGTAGAAATGCAGAGACAGGCATTCTCAGAGATGCTGTTCAGGCCTGGATTTCTCCAGTCCAAAATACAGACCCCCTGACGGGGACCTAGAAAATCCTGCATCCTCTCTCTTCCAAAATTCCCTCACCTAGGCTGGGCCTCAGCGTAATCCTATTGAGCATGATTTTTAAGTCATCACCTCTCTTCAGAACAATATAAGGTTGTCATCATTGACCCAACCCAGGCCACCAACCCCTCAACCCATGCATGCATCCATTGGGACCCAGATGGGCTCACCAGAGCTCTGTGCAGGAGACCAGGGCACCAGGAAGGGCCAGAGCTTCAGCTTATCAGGGCTGAGCACTCCACAGGACTGTGTCAGGGCCAGCAGGCCCAATGTACCCTTCCTCCAGGGTCACCATCTGGAGGGTGAGGGACAGGTGTCCAAACAGGGCTCATGCCTCCATAGGAGAAAGTGGGCAGGGGGTGCCAGCTCACACACAGCCTCCATGGACTCACGAGATGAGATCCATGGAAACAGTGACGGGCCATGCACTTGAGAACTCCTTGGCCCTCTCTTGCCACTGAATCCTGGAAAGAACAGGGCAGATGGATCATGGACTCCAGCAAGAAGCCTGGCGCTGCACTCTACTGTAGGACACTGGAGCACCCTCCACTGCCCACGCCAGCTCCCCACACAACTCTGGGCCTCAATGGATCACTGGGGCAGGCCAGGGCCACCAACCGCTCACGGCAACCAAGAAGGCTGGCCTGGACGCCATGTGCTACTGTAGACCTGGCGGTCACATAGCTCTGCCTCGGGCATGGAATGCACAATATCCATGCACCCTCCATAAACTCACCAGAAAGGCGATCATGGGGCCCCCAGGGCCACGTGCCTTCTCTGGTGGGTCCTCATTCATGCACCTCACACCTCTCAAACACAGAGCTGGGCCACGCTCTGCCAATCAGGGCCACATAATGTCTTCTTTCCTTTGCTCAAGACCCCATCACTCTCTGGAGGTGACCTCATGACTCAGAAGCAGCCTTTGGCAAATTGCTGGGACAGGACCTCACAGTGGCCCTTCCACCACAGGATGCCACCCTTCTGGCCACTCCACTATGGGGAGGGGTGAACTCCAATGGGACCTGGCTGCACCTTGGCCCAAAGCCCACGATGCCCAAGGCCAACCATGAGGTGACAGTCAGAGCTCAGCCTTGACCCAACTCCCACTGGAGGCTGCGCCACACCCACCAGGCTCAAGGTGCCACCACCGGGATGGCCCACTGCTCCATTGCTCAACAGGGTCGGTCCCATCTGGGCCATAGGTCATTCCTGACCCTTGAATGTTCAGGTCTGACTCCGTGTCGGATAAGCCACACACTGTCCCCTCTCTCTTCAAGCCTTGGGACAGAGAGCTCCCATATAAGACTCCTGACCCCAGAGACTCCTGGGAAGGCCCTCATGTGGTTTTGGGCAGTCCTCCAGGACTGACCTGTGCACCAAGTCTCACCTAGGATCCGCACTGCATTGGGTTGAAGGAACCCTCTCCTGCCTGAACCTCTCTTACTCCTGCAGAGTTTTGGGGAAGGGGTCCTTCTTGGGACTGATTTCCAAGGAAATCTCCCAACTGGAGAAACCATCCATCCCTGGTGGGGATTCAGGTCAGCTCCTTGAGGAAACACTCATGATTTGAAGCGTGACACCTCAGGGACCCCCACCCGGCCTGGCTCATGGGCCATGACCCCAGTAGGATCCATTCACCTGAGGCCCCATCACCATGGAGGTGACCCCATAGCTCAGAAGCAGCCTGGACAGCAAATTTCTGAGACAGGATCTTCCACAGCAGGCCTCGACCTCAGGAGGACACTTTTCCTGCCACTCTGCACACAAGGAAGGGGTGACTCCTGATGGGACATGGGTTATCCCCTTGTCCCTAAGCCCACCAATCCCAGGCAGGACTGTACCACCATCAGGATGCTGGCCAGAGCTAGCCTCACCACTCCTGAGGAAACAAAAAGGACTCCGCACTTGGCTCACAGAGGCACCACTGGGATGGCCATTGCTAAATAGGTCAGTTCCATCTGTGGCCATGGGTTTGCGATCTCTTGAAAATCTACAGCCCAACCCCATGGGCTGAATCACACACACCTCTCCAAGATCAGAGAGCCTGTGCATGAACCTCTTGGTGCCCCAGAGCCCTCGTGTCCCCCTTCATGTGGCCTGGCCATCCTAGAGGCCACAGACATGAGGACCTAGGTCTGGGCGGTCACTGCCCTGCATGAGGTGGAGGAAACCCTTTAATGTCTGGACCACTCACAATCATTTCTGCAGGGCTTCAGGGAATGTGATCCTCCTTGGTCTGATTCCTCAGGAAGTTGCCTCAGAGAACCAATCTCAGGTGGGCATTCAGAAGGCTCAAGGAAACCCTTGCAGCTGAAGACTGATGCCTCGGAAACCCCACACAGCCTGGCTCATGGCCATGACCCCAGCAGGATCCACTCACCTATGCCGGTCAATGCAAGGGGGTCTGCTGGGCACAAGAGCTCACTGAAAGACACAGGGAAACAGCTCAGGGAAGGAGACACCAAAGTGCCTCACCCTGCAACAGCAGCGCTGACACCAAGCCCACATAGTGAGCCTGGGCTGCCTCATGGAGGAGCACAGAGACAGGTTGGGCACCTCTAGATGCCCCTCAGAGCCTCCACGCCTCCAGCCCAAAATACAGTGGATCTCACAGGGAACTCATAATTCCCAGCATCCTCTTCCAAAATTCTCACCCAAGCTGGGCCTCAAAGCAGAATCCTATTGAGCAGCTGATTTTATGTCATCACCTCTCTTCAGACAATATAAGGTTCTCATCATCGACCTGTCCCAGGGCACCCTCCCCATCAATGCATCCAGTGGGACCCGGATGTGCCTACCATAGCTCAATGCAGGAGACGAGGGATTTGGTAGGCGGGCCCCATCTTCAGTGCATCAGCCGGGCACTTGACTGGATACGCCGGCCCGGGGCCACAGAGTCCAACACCAGCCCTTTTATATCTCCAATATCTGGGAAATAGGAGTAGGGACAGGTGTCTAATATAACTTTATTCTTTCTATGGAGGTAGAAGGGGTGGCCTGTGGAGAGTTTGCCCTCCATGGACCCACATGATGGGTTCCATGTGAACACTGGCCTGTCGCAGATGCAGGCACCCCTGTGTTTCTCACACCAATCCTTGGAAAGGACAGGCGGGCTGGGGTCGGGGCAAGAAGCCCCACAGCTCCTACTGCAGGACCCTATGAGCACCTCCACTGCCCAAGGGCGCCAGCTCCACCGCATGACCCCAGCATCATGCCAGGTCTACTGGGCACAGACCAGGCTACCAAACAGCTCTAATGCCAACCCAAAGAGGCTAGCCCAGATGCCAGATGCCACTGCAAAGTTGGCAGTCACATGGTCCTGCCCACTCGGGGATTGGTTCTCTAGGAGGGCAGCTTCCTTAGGAATCAACAGACTCAAGGAAGATACATTCCCTGAAGCCCTGCAGGGGCTGTGGTGGTCCAGCATTAGAAGGTTTCCTCCACCTCATTCAGGGCAGTGTCCCGCTGAGACTCGGTCCTCAGGTCTGGTTCCCTGATAGCCAGGCCACATGAAGGAGGACACGAGGGCTCTGGGGCACCAAGAGGTTCATGCACAGTGCCTCTCTGACCTTGGAGAGGTGTGGTGATTTGGCCCATGGAGATGGGCTGTAGATTTTCAAGGATCGCACCAAACCCATGGCCCTGAAATGGAACTCTGACCCTATTTAGCAATCGGCCATCCCAGTCGTGCTCTGAGCCAAGTGCGGGTCAGCACCCCACTCGGCCTGGCTCATGGCCAAGACCCCACAGATACATTCACCTGAGGCCCTACCACCATGGAGGTCACCCCATAGCTCAGAGGCAGCCTGGACAGCAAATTTCTGAGACAGGATCTTCCACAGCATGCCTTCCCCACCCTCAGGAGGACACTCTTCCTGCCACTTGCACACAAGGAAGGGGTGACCCCGATGGGACATGGGTTATCCCCTTGTCCCTAAGCCCACCAATCCCAGGGCGGGACTGCACCACCAGCAGATGCTGGCCAGAGGTAGTCTCGACTCACCCTGAGGAAACAGTGCTGACCCGCACTTGGCTCACAGAGGCACCACTGGGATGGCCACTGCTAAACAGGTCAGTTCCATTCAGGGCCATGGGTTTGGTGCGATCCTTGAAAACCCACAGCCCAACCCCATGGGCCGAATCACACACACCTCTCCAAGGTCAGAGAGCCTCCACATGAACCTCTTGTGCCCCCAGAGCCCTCGTGTCCCCTTCATGTGGCCCAGCTATCCTAGAGGCCAGACATGAGGACCGAGTCTCAGCGGTCACTGCCCTGCATGAGGTGGAGGAAACCCTTTAATGCCTGGACCACCACAACCCCTGCAGGGCTTCAGGGAATGTATCCTCCTTGGGTCTGATTCCTAAGGAAGCTGCCCTCCTAGAGAACCAATCCCAGGTGGGCATTCAGGAAGGCTCCTAAGGAAACCCTTGCAGCTGAAGACTGATGCCTGAGTCCTCTACACAGCCTGGCCTATGGGCCATGACCCCAGCAGGATCCACTCACTCCAGTGCCGGTCAATGCAAGGGGGTCTGGGCACAAGAGCTCACTGAAAGACACAGGGGAAAATGGGGACTCAGGAAGGAGACACCAAAGTGCCCCACCCCTGGGTAACAGCAGCGCTGACACCAAGCCCACATAGTGAGCCTGGGCTGCTCCCATGGAGGAGCGCAGAGACAGGGTTGCGCAGACCCTCTAGATGCCCTCAGAGCCTCCACGTCTCCAGCCTCAAAATATAGTGGATTTCACAGGAACTACAATTCCCAGCATCCTCTTCCAAAATTCTCACCCAGGCTGGGCCTCAGCGTAATCCTATTACATGATTTTTATGTCATCACCTCTTCAGACAATATAAGGTTCTCATCATCGACTCCAACCCAGGGCACCCCTCCCCATCAATGCATCCAGTGGGACCCGGATGTGCTCACCATAGCTCAATGCAGGAGACGAGGGCATCAGGAAGGGCCCCATCTTCTCGTGTACTGGGGCTGGGCACCTTACTGACAGACACTGGCCCAGGGCCATTGGGTCCCAATACAAGTCTTCCTCAAGGTTCAACCTCTGGGAAACAGGAGTAGGACAGGTGTCCAAACACAACCTCATCCCTCCATGGAGGCAGAAGGTGGGGTGTGGTGGCTCAGCGATGCTCGCCTCCATGGACTCCATGATGGGTTCATGGGGGCAACACTGGCCCGTTGCAGATGGCAGGGCACCCTGTGCTCTCTCAGTCACCAGTCCTTGAAAGGACAGGGCAGGCGGGTCACTGGGGCCGGGCAAAGAAGCCCCAGCTGTGCCTCTACTGCAGGAGCCCATGAGCACTCTTCCACCGCCCATGCCGGCTCCACCCGCGATGACCCCAGCATCATGCCAGGCCTACTGGGTGCAGACCAGGCGACTAAACACCATCGCCAACCAAGGAGGCTGGCCCAGATGACAGATGCCAATGCAAAAGCTGGCAGTCACATGGTCCTGCCCCTGTGCACTGTGGGAACTCCACCCACTTGCCCTATCACAGCACGTGCCAGAGTTCTGTACATGCCTGGGGTCCCAGGGCCACACATTCTCCTCTGGTGGGTCCCTATTCATGCCCCACACATCCTAACACAGAGCAGGGCCACACTTGGCTATTCGGGGGACACATGGAGATTTCTCATACTTTGGGCACAAGACTCACCAACCTGGGGGTGACCCCACGGCTCAGAAGCAGCATGGGCAGCATATTCCAGGACAAGACCTTGATAGCAGGCTTTCTAACTCAGGAGGCCACCCTCCTTCCAGACATTTGCCCACAGGAAAGGGGGTGACCCAGCCAAGGAGAGAACCTCATAATACGGCTGACTCCTTGGCCTAAACCTCTAACGAGTCCATGGTCAGACTGCAGCAACACCAGGTGCCAGCCTGAGCTCAGCTTTGACCCAAACCTAGGGAAATAGCACTGCCCCCTCCAGGCTCAAAGACGTGTCACGGGTTGGCATATTGCTCAACATGACCCATCCCATTCAGGGCAATAAGTCATGTGCGATCATTGAATATCTGCAGCTCAACTCCATGGGCCCTAGGCCACTGTTCTCCGTGAGAGATAGAGAGCTCCTGTGTGACCTCGTGGCATCCTGGAGTCCCTGTGACCCTCATGGGCTCTTACACAGTCCTCGAGGTCACAGCAGCACACAAAGACTCAGCTTGGAGCTGCCCTGTGTGAGACTGAAGGAACCCTCTCCTGCCTGGGACGACTGTCAATCCCCACAGGACTCCAGGGAAGGTGTACTCTTTGGCCCGATTCTCAGGATGCCACTTTCCTAGAGGATCAACCTCTTCCATCCCTGGTGGGCATTCAAGTCTGCTCCTAAGGAAACCCTCCTGTCCTGAAGGCTGACCAGCTTACCCACACGCCTGACCCGTGGCCCATAACACCAGCACGATCCACTGACCTATGCCGCTCAATGCCAGGTGCCCCTGCCTGCATGGAAGAGCCTGCTCTGAAAGACACAATGGGAGAAGCAGGGCTCAGGGAGGAGCTGCCTCATGCCCCACCCCAGGAAACTGACCTCACCAACAGCAAGCCCGCACAGGGAGCCTGGGCTGCCCACGGAGGAGTGCAGAGACAGGGTTGGGCTTCTCAGATGCCCTTCAGGCCTCCAGGTCTCCAGCCTGTACACAGGGGCCCTGATGGGGACTTCGGGATTCCAGCATCTTCTTCCAAAATTCTCACCTAGGCTGGGCTTCAAGGTAATCTTATTGAGCATCATTTTAAAAGCTATCACCCCTCTTCAGACAATATAAGGTTCTCATCATCGACCCAACCCAGGACACCCTCCTTCCTGCACAGGCATCTGGTGGGACCCGGATGTAGTCACCACAGCTCAGTGCAGGAGACCAGGTCACTAAGAAGGTCCTAAGCTTCAGCACATCAGGGGCCGGCACCTGGCTTTGGGACACTGGCTGGAAAGACATTGAGCCCAACACAAGTCTTCCTCCGGCTCATACCTGAGGTACAGGAGGAGGCCATGTGTCCAAACCGGGCCTCATGCCTCCATGCGGCAAAGGGGTGAGGGTTACTCACGTGATGGGATCCACGCAGAACGCAGACCTATCATGGAAGTGGGGCACCCTTGGCAACCACACTGAAATCGAAGCCTAGGAGTCCCAGGGCCACAGGCTTTCTCTGGCGAGTCCCCATCCATGTCCCGCACAGGTCCCCAAAACAGAGTCAGGCCACCTTCGGCCAACCCTGGGCCACATGGTGTCCTCTTCTTAGGCCCAGACCCGCCACCCCGGGAGGACCCCATGGCTCAGAAGAGGCCTGGGTGGCAAATTCTGGTGAAAGTGACCATTGACAGCGGGTCTTCCCACCAGATCCACTCTTCCAGCCACTCACCGACATGCAAAGGGTGACCTCCAGGAGGATGTGGGCTGCCGACTTAAACCAAAGCCCACAAGTTCAAGGGCCAGCCTGCAGCATCGCCAGGCAGTGGACAGAGCTCAGTCTTGACCCAAACCCAGGGAAGCAGTACCACCTCCCACCAAGCTCAAAGAGGCGCACAGATGGCCCATTACTCAACACAGTCGGTTGCATTTAGGGCCATGGCTGGGATGTGCAGTCCTTGAATCTCTGCAGCCTTACCCCACGGGGCCCATTCGAGCACCTCTCCAGGGAAAAGAGAGCTCTCGTGTGACTCTGGGCACCCCAGAGCCCCCTGGCCCCCTCATGTGGCCTGGGCCAGACCTGCACACCAAGTCTCAGCTGGGAGCTGCCCTGCATGGACTGTGGGACTCTTCCTGCCTGGAACACTGTCACCCCCAGAGGCATCAGGAAGGCATTGTCTGGTCTGACCCCCAAGGAAGCCAGCCTCTTGCAGAAACCATCTCCCCAGTGGGGATTCATGTTGGCTCCCTGGAGGGAAACCTTCTTTTCCCCAAGGGATGACTCCTCAGTGCATACCAATGGGCCTGGCTCATGCCCCATGATACCAGCAGAGTGCACTCACCTATGTGCATCAGTATCAGCAGGCCCACCTGGGATGAAAAGCTCACTGAAATACAGAAGACACAAGAGGAGAACAGGGGCTCAGGAAGGACCCAGCAAGGAGCTCCTACCTCAGGAACAGGAGAGCTAACACCAAGCCCACAGAGGGAGCCTGGGCTGCCTCATGTAGAAATGCAGAGACAGGGTAGAGCTCCCCAAGATGTGCTGTTCAGGGCCTGGATTTCTCCAGTCCAAAATACAGAGCCCCTGACAGGGACCTAGAAATCCCAGCATCCTCTTCCAAAATTCTCACCTAGGCTGGGCCTCAGCGTAATCCTATTGAGCATGATTTTTAAGTCATCACCTCTCTTCAGAACAATATAAGGTTGTCATCATTGACCCAACCCAGGCCACCAACCCCTCAACCCATGCATGCATCCATTGGGACCCAGATGGGCTCACCAGAGCTCTGTGCAGGAGACCAGGGCACCAGGAAGGGCCAGAGCTTCAGCTTATCAGGGGCTGAGCACCCGGCTGAGGGATTACTGTGTCAGGCCAGCAGGCCCATGCAATTCTTCCTCCAGGGTCACCATCTGGAGGGGTGAGGGACAGGTGTCCAAACAGGGCTTCATGCCTCCATAGGAGAAAGTGGGCAGGGGGTGCTAGCTCACACATTACTTTCTCCATGGACTCAACAGAGATGAGATCCATGGAAAACAGTGACGGTCATGCACTTGAGGAACCCTTGGCCCTCTCTGCCGCTGAATCCTGAAAGAACAGGCAGATGATCATGGGATTCCAGGCAGCGTAGGCTGCACCCTACTGTAGGACACTGAGCACCTCCACTGCCCACGCCAGCTCCCCCACACAACTCTGGGCCTCAATGGGATCACTGGGCAGGGCCAGGGCCACCAACCAGCTCACGGCAAACCAAGAAGGCTGGCCTGGACGCCATGCGCCACTGTAGACCTGGCGGTCACATAGCCTGCCCCTGGGCATGGAATGCACACATTCATGCACCCTCCATAAGCTCACACCAGAAATACCATCCTGGGGCCCCAGGCCATGTGCCTCTCTGGTGGGTCCCCATTCATGCACCTCACACCTCCCAAACACAGAGCTGGGCCACGCTCTGCCAATCAGGGGCCACATAATGTTCTCTCCTTTCCTTTGGCTCAAGACCCCATCACCCTGGAGGTGACCCCATGACTCAGAAGCAGCCTTGGCAGCAAAATTGCTGACAGACCCTTCACAGTGGCTCCTTCCACCACAGGATGCCACCCTTCTGGCCACTCCACTATGGGGAGGGGTGAACTCCACGCCGGGACCCGGCTGCACCCTTGGCCCAAGCCCACGATGCCCAAGGCCAACCATGAGGTGACAGTCAGAGCTCAGCCTTGACCCAACCCCACTGAGGCTGCGCCACACCCACTCAGACTGCTGTGCCACCACCGGGATGGCCCACTGTTCCATTGCTCAACAGGGTCGGTCCCATTCGGGGCCATAGGTCATTCCTGACCCTTGAATGTTCAGGTCTGACTCGTGGCCGGATAAGCCACACACTGTCTCTTCAAGCCTTGGGGACAGAGAGCCCCATAAGGACTCCTGACCCCAGAGACGCTGGGAATGCCCTCATGTGGTTTGGGCAGTCCTCCAGACTGACTCCGTGCACCAAGTCTCACCTAGATCCGCACTGCAATGGGCTGGAAGGAACCTCTCCTGCCCGAACCCCTTACCCCGAGCGGAGAAGTTTGGGACTGATTTCTAAGGAAATTTAATTTGAGAAACTATCTATCTTTAGGATTTCCAGAGCCAGTTTGAGGAAATACCATGACGGAAGCGTGACACCAGACCCCACCCGGCCTGGCTCATGGGGCCATGACCCCAGTAGGATCCATTCACCTGAGGCCCCATCACCATGGAGGTGACCCCATAGCCTGTGAAGCAGCCTGACAGCAAATTTCTGAGACAGGATCTTCCACAGCAGGCCTTCCCACCTCAGGAGGACACTCTTCCTGCCACTTGCACACAAGGAAGGGGTGACCCCGATGGGACATGGGTTATCCCCTTGTCCCTAAGCCCACCAATCCCAGGGCGGGACTGCACCACCAGCAGATGCTGGCCAGAGCTAGTCTCGACTCACCCTGAGGAAACAGTGCTGACCCGCACTTGACCTACAGAGAGGCACCACTGGGATGGCCGATTGCTAAATAGGGTCAGTTCCATTCAGGGCCATGGGTTTGGTGCGATCCTGAAAATTCCACAGCCAATCCCCATATTGAATCACACACACACCTCTCCAAGATCAGAGAGCCTGTGCATGAACCTCTTGGTGCCCCAGAGCCCTCGTGTCCCCCTTCATGTGGCCTGGCCATCCTAGAGACCAGACCCGAGGACCGAGGCCCCAGTGACACTGCCCTGCATGAGGTGGAGGAAACCCTTAATGCCTGGACCACCAACCGCCTGCAGGGCTTCGTGGAAATGTATCCTCCTTGGGTCTGATTCTCAGGAGTTGCCCTAGAGAACCAATCTCAGGTGGGCATTCAGAAGGCTCCTAAGGAAACCCTTGCAGCTGAAGACTGATGCTCGGAAACCCCACACAGCCTGGCTCATGGGCCATGACCCCAGCAGGATCCACTCACCTATGCCGGTCAATGCAAGGGGGTCTGCTGGGCACAAGAGCTCACTGAAAGACACAGGGAAAATGGGGCTCAGGAAGGAGACACCAAAGTGCCCCACCCCTGGGTAACAGCAGTGCTGACACCAAGCCCACATAGTGAGCCTGGGCTGCCTCATGGAGGAGCGCAGAGACAGGGTTGGGCACCCCAGATGCCCTCAGAGCCTCCAGGTCTCCAGCCCAAAATACAGTGGACCTCACAGGGAACTCATAATTCCCAACATCCTCTTCCAAAATTCTCACCCAAGCTGGGCCTCAGCGTAACTTCTATTGAGCATGATTTTTATGTCATCAATTTCTCTTCAGACAATATAAGGTTCTCATCATCGACCCAACCCAGGGCACCCCCTCCCCATCAATGCATCCAGTGGGACCTGATGCCTACCATTGCTCAATGCAGGAGACGAGGCATCAGGAAGGGCCCCATCTTCAGTGCACCTGGGGCTGGGCACTTGACTGACAGACGCTGGCCCGGGGCCATAGGGTCCAATACCAGGCTTCCTCAAGGTTCAACAACATCTGGGGAAATTGGTATAGACAGGTGTCCAAACACAACCCTCATCCCTCCATGGAGGCAGAAGGTGGGGTGTGGTGGCTCAGGATAGCCTGCCCTCCATGGACTCCATGCTGTGATGGGTTCCATGTGAACACTGGCCTGTCGCAGATGCAGGGCACCCTGTGCTCTCTCAGCCACCAATCCTTGGAAAGGGACAGGGCAGGGTCAGCTGGGGTCGGGCAAGAAGCCCCAGCTGTGCCCTACTGCAGACCCTATGAGCACCTCCACTGCCCATGCCAGCTCCACCGCATGACCCCAGCATCATGCCAGGTCTACTGGGCACAGACCAGGGCCACCAAACAGCTCACTGCCAACCAAAGAGGCTAGCCCAGATGCCAGATGTGCCACTGGGTAAAGCTGGCAGTCACATATCCTGCCCACCTGGGATTGCCCTCTAGGAGGGCAGCTTCCTTAGAATCAGACCCAAGGAAGATACATTCCCTGAAGCCCCAGGGGTTGTGGTGGTCCAGGCATTAAAGGGCTTCTCCACCTCATGCAGGGCAGTGTCCCGCTGAGACTCGGTAATTGTATGTCTGGCTCTAGGGATAGCCAGGCCACATGAAGGAGGACACGAGGGCTCTGGGGCACCAAGAGGTTCATGTGGAGGCTTCTCTGGACCTTGGAGAGGTGTGTGTGATTTGGCCCATGGAATTGGGCTGTAGATTTTCAAGGATCGCACCAAACCCATGACCCTGAATGAACTGACCTTATTTAGCAAATCGGCCATCCCAGTGGTGCCTCTGAGCCAAGTGCGGGTCTGCACCCCACCTCGGCCTGGCTCATGGGCCATGACCCTGGCCAGGATACAGCACATTCACCTCGAGGCCCCGCCACCATGGAGGCTCACCCCATAGCTCAGAGGCAGCCTTGACAGCAAATTTCTGAGACAGGATCTTCCACAGCAGGCCTTCCACCTCAGAGGACACTCTCCTGCCACTTGCACACAAGGAAGGTGAATTAGATGGGACATGGGTTATCCCCTTGTCCCTAAGCCCACCAATCCCAGGGCGGGACTGCACCACCAGCAGATGCTGGCCAGAGCTAGTCCTCTGACTCACCCTGAGGAAACAGTGCTGACCCGCACTTTGAGCTCTACAGAGGCACCACTGGGATGGCCGATTGCTAAATAGGTCAGTTCCATTCAGGGCCAAGTGGCTTGGTGCGCATCCTTGAAAACCCACAGCCCAACCCCATGGGCCGAATGACACACACCTCTCCAAGGTCAGAGAGCCTCCACATGAACCTCTCGGTGCCCCAGAGCCCTCGTGTCCCCTTCATTGGCCTGGCCATCCTAGAGGCCAGACATGAGGACCGAAGTCTCAGCGTGGTCACTGCCCTGCATGAGGTGGAGGAAACCTCTTTTAATGCGTGACTACCACAACCCCTGCAGGGCTTCTGGTGGGAATGTATCCTCCTGGTCTGATTCCCTCAGGAAGCTGCCCTCCCAGAGAACCAATTCCAGGTGGGCATTCAGGAAGGCTCCTAAGGAAACCCTTGCAGCTGAAGACTGATGTGCCTGAAACCTCCCACACAGCCTGGCTCATGGGGCCATGACCCAGCAGGAGATCCACTCACCTATGCCGGTCAATGCAAGGGGGTCTGGGCACAAGAGTCACTGAAAGACACAGGGGAAAATGGGGACTCAGGAAGGAGATACCAAAGTGCCTCACCCCTGCACAGCAGTGCGATACCAAGACCACATAGTGAGCCTGGGTTGCCTCGCATGGAGGAGCGCGAGAGAGACAGGGTTGGGCACCTCTAGATGCCCTCAGAGCCTCTAATGTCTCCAGCCCAAAATATAGTGGATTTCACAGCGAACTCATAATTCCCAGCATCCTCTTCCAAAAATTCTGCCCAGGCTGGGCCTCACGTAATCCTATTGAGCATGATTTATGTCATCACCTCTTCAGACAATATATGCTCATCATCGACCTAACCCAGGGCACCCTCCCCATCAATGCATCCAGTGGGACCCGGATGTGCTCACCATTGCTCAATGCAGGAGACGAGGGTGACTGGTAGCGGCCTCATCTTCAGTGCACCTGGGGCTGCACTTGACTGACAAGACGCTGGCCCGGGCCAGGGTCCAATACCAGTCTTCTCACACCAACATCTGGGAAACAGGAGTAGGACAGGTGTCCAAACACAACCTCATCCCTCCATGGAGGCAGAAGGTGGGTGTGGTGTTCAAAGGATGCCTGCCTCCATGGACCTACATGATGGGTTCCATGTGCAACACTGGCCCGTTGCAGATGCAGAGCACCCTGGGCTCTCTCAGTCACTGGGGTCCTTGAAAGGACAGGGCAGGCGGGTCACTGGGCCGGGCAAGAAGCCCCAGCTGTGCCTCTACTGCAGAGCCCATGAGCACTTCCACTGCCCATGCCGGCTCCACCGCATGACCCCAGTATCATGCCAGGCCTACTGGCTTATGACCAGGGCCACTCAAACAGTTCATCGCCAACCAAGGAGGCTGGCCCAGATGACAGATGCCACTGCAAAGCTGGCAGTCACATATCCTGCCCCTGTGCACTGTGGGAACCCACCCACGTGCCCTATCACAGCACGTACTAGAGTCCTGTACATGCCTGGAGTCCCAGGGCCACATGCTCTCTCTGGTGGGTCCCTACTCATGCCCCACACACATCCTAACACAGAGCAGGGCCACACTTGGCTATTCGGGGGACACATGGAGACTTCTCATTTCCTTGGGCACAAGACTCACCACCCTGGGGTGACCCTACGGCTCAGAAGCAGCATGGGCAGCATATTCCAGGACAAGACCCTTGATAGCAGGCTTTCTAACTCAGAGGCCACCCTTCCAGACATTTGCCCACAGGAAAGGGGGTGAATTCCAGCCAAGGAGAGAACCTCAGCAATACGTGGCTGACCCTTGGCCTAAACCTAACGAGTCCATGGTCAGACTGCAGCAACACCAGGTGCCAGCCTGAGCTCAGCCTTGACCCAAACCTAGGGAAATAGCACCGCCCCCTCCAGGCTCAAAGACGTGTCACGGGTTGGCATATTGCTCAACATGACCCATCCCATTCAGGGCAATAAGTCATGTGCGATCCTTCAATATCTGCAGCTCAACTCCATGGGCCCTAGGCCACCGTTCTCCAGAGAGAGAGAGCTCCTGTGTGACCTCGGTGGCATCCCGAGGCCCTGTGGACTCCCTGTGGCTCTACAGTCTCGAGGTCACAGCAGCACACAAAGACTCAGCTTGAGCTGCTCTGTGTGAGACTGAAGGAACCTCTCCTGCCTGGACGACTGTCATCCTCACAGACTCCAGGGAAGGTGTACTCCATGGGTCTGATTCCTCAGATGCCATTTTCCTAGAGAGGATCAAATCTTCCATCCCTGGTGGCACCCAAGTCTGCTCCCATGGAAACCTCCTCCTGTCCTGAAGGCTGACTCCTCAGCGACTCCACGCGCCTGACCCGTGGCCCATAACACCAGCATGATCCACTGACCTATGCCGCTCAATGCCAGGTGCCTGCCTGCATGGAAGAGCTCACTGAAAGACACAAAATGGGAGAAGCAGGGCTCAGGGAGGAGTTGCCTCATGCCCCACCCCAGGAAACTGACCACCAACAGCAAGCCCAGCAGGAGTCAGCTGCCTCACTGAGGAGTGCAGAGACAGGGTCCCCCAGATGCTCCTTCAGGCCCTCCAGGCCCCAGCCCAAAATACAGGGGCCCTGATGGGGACTTTGACTCTCCAGCATCTTCTTCCAAAATTCTCACCTAGGCTGGGCTTCAAGGTAATCTTATTGAGCATCATTTTAAAGTCATCACCTCTTCACAGACAATATAACATTCTCATCATCGACCTAACCCAGGACACCCTTTTCCTTGCACAGGCATCCGGTGGACCCTTGACAGTCACCACAGCTCAGTGCAGGAGACCAGGTCACTAGGAAGGTCCCAAGCTTCAGCACATCAGGGGCCGGGCACCTGGCTTTGGGACACTGGCCAAAAGACATTGAGCCTACCACAAGTCTTCCTCCGGGCTCATACCTGAGGTACAGGAGGAGGCCAGTGTGTCCAAACCGGGCCTCATGCCTCCATGCGGCAAAGGGGTGAGGGTTACTCACGTGATAGGATCCACGAGAACGCAGACCTGTCATGGAATTGGGGCACCCTTGGCAAACCACTGAAATCGAAGCCTGGAGTCCCAGGGCCACAGGCTTTCTCGGCAAGTCCTACATGCCCGCACAGGTCCCCAAAACAGAGTCAGGCCACCTCTTCACAACCTGGCCCCATGGTGTCCTCTTTCCTTAGGCCCAGACCCTGCCACCCTGGGAGGTGACCCATGGCTCAGAAGAGGCCTGGGTGGCAAATTCCCAGGACATGGTGACCATTGACAGCGGGTCTTCCTACCTCAGGATCCACTCTTCCAGCCACTCACCGACATGCAAAGGGTGACTTTCCAGGAGGATGTGGGCTGCCGACTTAAACCAAAGCCCACAAGTTCGCAACAGCCTGCAGCATCGCCAGGCAGTGACAGAGCTCAGTCTTGACCCAAACTCCAGGAAGCAGTACCACCTCCCACCAAGCTCACAAGAGGCGTTACTGAGATGGCCCATTACTCAACACAGTCGGCTGCATTTAGGGCCATGGTTGGGATGCAGTCCTCGAATCTCTGCAGCCTGACCCCATGGGCCCCATTCGAGCACTCCTCCAGGAAAGAGAGCTCTCATGTGACCCTGGGGCACCCCCAGAGCCCCTGTGGCCCTCATGTGGCCTGGGCCAGACCCGCACACAATGTCTCAGCTGAGCTGCCTCGGTACTGGAACTGACGGGACCTCTTTTCTGCCTGACCACTGTCACCCTGTGAGGCATCAGGAAAAGCATTTGTTCTGGGTCTGATTCCCAAGGAAGCCAGCCTCTTGCAGAAACCATCTCTCCCCAGTGGGGATTCATGTTGGCTCCCTGAGGAAACTCTTCTTTCCCAAGGGATGACCCTCAGTGACACCACGTGGCCTGGCTCATGCCCCATGATGCCAGCAGAATGTACTCACCTATGTGCGTCAATATCAGCGGGCCCACCTGGGCCGGAAGAACTCACTGAAATACAGAACACAAGAGGGAGAACGGAGGCTCAGGAAGGACTCCAGCAAGGAGCTCCTACCTCAGGGAACAGGAGAGCCAACACTGAAGCCCACGGCAGAGCCCGCCGCCCCGCCAGGCCGTAGAGATAGGGGTAGAGTTTCTAAGATAGCAGCCTAGGCTTGATTTAGTCTAGGGCTATAGAGTTTTTGATAGGATTCCAGAAATCCTAGCATCTTTCTTCTAAAATTTCACTTCTAGGTTGGGCTCAGTGTAATTCCTATTGGAGTATGACTTTGGGTCATCACCCCTTCAGAACCATATAAGGTTCTCATCATTGACCCAACCCAGGGCACCACCCCTCCCAACCCATGCAAGCATCCACTGGGACTCCAGATGTGCCTGGCCATAGCTTTGTGCAGACAGCAGGGCACCAGGAAGGGCCTGAACTTCCTCCAGTCGCCAGTGGCCGTGGCACCTTGGCTGGAGGGACATTGTCCCAGGGACAGTGGGGCTCATGCACTCTTTCCTCGAGGGTCACTATCTGGAGGGTGGGGGACAGTTGTCCTAACACGGCCTCATCCTCCATGCAGAAAAGTAGGCAGGGCATGCTAGCTTACAGATGGTCTCCTCCTGGACTCAATACACATGATTCATAAAACAGTGACGGTTATGCACGCAAAGGAAACCTTGGCCCTCCCTGCTCCCTGAACTCCTGAAGGAAAGGGTAGGCGGCTGGATTCCAGCAAGACGCCCAGGCTGCACCCTACAGTGTGACCCCTGGAGCACTTCCACGCCCACACCAGCTCCCCCACACATGACCTGGCCACTTGGACCACTGGGCAAGGCTAGGGCCACCAACCAGCTCATGGCAAACCAAAGAGGCTGGACTGGATGCCAGGCAGCTGCAGAACTGGCAGGCACATAGCCTGCTCCTGGGTGTGGGAAGGCACCTGTCCAGGCACCCTCTATAAGCCTACACCAGAAATTGCATCCTGGAGTCCCCAGGCCACGTGCCTTCTGGTGGGTCCCCATTCATGCACCACGACCTCCCAAGTAAAACACACAGCCAGGCCACACTCGGCCAATCATGGGACACATGCTATCTTCTCCTTTCCTCTGGCTCAAGACTCCACCACCCTGTAGGTGACCCCATGTCTCAGAAGCAGCCTGGGCAGCAAATGGCCAGCACAGGTCCCTCGGACAGCAGCCCTTCCACCACAGGATGCCACCCTTCCGGCCACTCCACTTTGGGAGGGGTGACCTAATGGGACGCAGGCTGCACCCTTTGGCCCACGATTCCCAGAGCCAACCATCAGGTGTCAGCCAGAGCTCACCCCTGACCCAACCCCAGTGAGGCCGCACCACCCCACCAGCCCCCCAAGGAGTACCTGTGGATGGCCCATTGCTCAACAAGGTCTGCCCCATTCTGGGCCCAGGGTATGGCCCGACCCTTGAGTCTTCACGGCCTGACTCCATAAGCCCCATCACCCACACCCAACCCCCTGCAAGCCTCGGGGAAGAGCTCCTATATAAGACTCCTGGCCCCAGAGACCCTGTGGATGCCCTCATATGGCCTGGGCAGTCCTCCAGGCCTGACCTGTGCACCAAGTCTCAGCTAAGATCTGCACTGCGTTGGGCTGGAAGGAACCCTCTCCCCTGCCTGAACCTCTGTTACTCCTGCAGGGTTTCAGGGAAGGCATCTTTCTTTGGGATTGGATTTCCAGGAAGCCACCCTCCTGGAGAAACTATCTGTCCCTGGTGGGGATTTAGGTCGCTCCCGAGGAAACCCTGGTGTCCTGAAGGGTGACTCAGTGGACCCCATGGCCTGGCTCATGGGCCATGACCCCAGCAGGATCCACTTACCTATGCCGCTCAAGGCCAGGGGCCCGCCTGGGCAGAAGAGTTCACTGAAAGACACAGGGGAGAACGGGGGCTCAGGGAGGAGCCACCAACCTGCCCCGGCCCCTGGGAGCCAGAGTGCCAACACCAAGCCCGCATGAGGAGCCTGGGCTGCCACACAGAGGAGCACATAGACAGGGTTGGGCACCCCCAAGGTGCTCTTCAGGGCCTCAAGGACTCCAGCCCAAAATACAGTGGTTCTGCCGGGGGACCTTGGGATCCCAGCATCCTCTTCCAAAATTCTCACCTAGGCTGGGCCTCAGCGTAATCCTATTGAGCATGATTTTTAAGTCATCACCTCTCTTCAGGACAATATAAGGTTCTCATCATTGACCCAACTAGGGCACCACCTCCCCACACATGCATCCAGCGGACCCGGATGCTACCACAGCTCAGTGCAGGAGACCAAGGCGACAGGAAAGGCCTGAGTTTCAGCGCTCCAGGGGCTGGGCACCTGACTGGACGACCACTCGCCCCGGGACAGCGGGCCCAACGAAAGTTTTCCTCTGGTTTCACCATCTAGGGGACAGGAGGTGGACTGTGTCCAAATGGAACTCACGCCTACAATAATGGGAAGGGGGCGGGGGATGCCAGCTCACAATCAGCCTCTCCCACCATGGACCCATGTGATGGGATCCATGTGAAACACTGATGTGTCATGGATGGTAGGGAACCTTGGCCCTCTCACGACTGAACCCTGAAGGACAGGGCAGGTGGGTTTACTGGACTCGGGCAAGATGCCCTAGCTATGCCCTATTGCAGGCACCTTGAGCACCTCCACTGCCCACGCTAGCTGCCTCTCACAACGAGGGCTGTATTGGCCCCGGGGGTGCGGGCCAGGCCACCTACCCTCTCACAGCCAACCATGAGGCTGGGCTCCAGTGATGCCATGAACTGCCAATCTGGCAGTGGCATATCTGCTCCCTGTGTGTGTGGAGGGCGAGAACCCAGGCCCTGCCCATACCACACAGGAAATCGCAGCCTGGGGCCCCAGGGCCTCGTGTGTTCTCTGGTGGGTCCCCATCCATGGCCACACAACACCTCCCACACACAGAGCGGGCACATAACACTCAGTCAATCAGGACACCTGGTGTCTTCCTTTACTTGGACCCAAGATTCCACCCCCTAGAGGTGACCCCATGGCTCAGATGCAGCCTGACCACAAATCCCAGGACAGGTCCTTCCACAGCAGGTCTCCCACTCCCCAGGACAGCTCTGTCACTGCCCACAAGGAAGGGGGTGACTCCAGTGGGACATGACTGTACCTTGGCCCAAAGCCCACAATTTGTGGCTGTGAATGCAGCACCTCAGTGCCAGCTAGGGCTAGTCTTGACACAGCCTAGGGAAACAGTGCTGCCCTACACTTGGCTCAAAGAGGCACCACTGGGATGGCCCATAGCTTAATAGGTCAGTCCCACCTAGGCCATGGGTTTGGAGAGATCCCAAATCCGAAGCCCAACCCCATGGACAGAATTGCACACACCTCTCCAAGGTCAGAGGGCTCCTGCAAGACCCCCTTGTCACCCCAGAGCCCTTGTGGCCACCCGCATGTGGCCTGGTCATCCTAGAGGCTTGACCTGAGCCTGAGTCTTAAGGCACTGCCCCCAACATGGGGCTGAGGAAACCCCATTGTCTGGACCACTGCAACCCTGCAGGGCTTCAGGGAAGGTATCCTCCTTGGGTCTGATTCCCAAGGAAGCCACCCGCCTAGAGAACCCATTCCAAGTGGGGATTCAGGACAGCTCCTGAGAAAACTCTTGTGGCCGAAGGCTGATGCTCAGCAACCCCATGCAGCCTGGCTTATGGGCCATGATCCCAACAGGATCCACTCACCGATGCTGGTCAATGTCAGGAGGTCTGCTGGGCAGAAGAGCTCACTGAAAGACACAGGGGGAGAATGGGGCTCAGGAAGGAGCCACCTCAAAGTACTCCTTGCCCCCAGGTAAGGGGGAGGCTTACCACCAAGCCCACATAGTGAGCCTGGGCTGCCTCACGGAGGAGCGCAGAGACAGGGTTGGGCACTTCTAGATGCCTCAGACTTCCAGGTTCTAGCCCAAAATACAGTGGACTCCTACAGGGAACTCGTACTCCCAGCATCCTCTTCCAAAATTCTCACCCAGGCTGGGAAGCCTCAGCGTAATCCTATTGAGCATGATTTTTAAGTCATCACCTCTCTTCAGACAATATAAGGTTCTCATCATCGACCCAAACCCAGGGCAATTCTCCCCCACACACGCATCCAGTGGGACTCAATGCTCACCAAGTTCAATGCAGGAGACCAGGCCCAGGAGGGCGCAAGCTCAGCTCACCAGGGGCTGGGCATCTCGCTGATGGCCACTGGCCTGGGGCTAGCAGGCGCAATGCAAGTCTTCCTCTCTGGTCACCATCTGGAGGGACAGGGGACAGGTATCCAAACGGGGCCTCACGCCTCCATGCAGGAAAGCAGGGAGTGGGGGCTGCTCACACATGCTCTCCTCCATGGACCCATGTGATGGCATCTATATGAGATAATGATGGTCATGGGACCTGGGGAACGCTATGGTCCTCTCCGCTACTGAACCCTTGGAAGGACAAGGTAGGCAGGTCACTTGGGCTTGGGTAAGATGCCCAGGCTGTGCCGTACAGCAGGCCCCTGGAGCACTTTCACCGCTCACAGTGGCTCCCACTCGCATGATTCTAGACCACAACAGAAACCCAGGGCAGGGTCCAAGGCTGCCAACCAGCTCACAGTCAACCAAGGAGGCTGGGTCCTGAAGCCAGGTGTTGCTGCCAACCTGGCAGTCCCATTGAAGCCTGCCCCTGTGCGCAGAGAATGGCTGCCCAGATCCTCTCCAAGCACACACCAGAAATCGCAGCCTGGGTCCAGGGCTATGTGCTTGGTCTGCTGGTCCTCATCCACACCCCAGACACCTGCCAAACACGGAGCTGGGCCACACTCAGCCAATCAGGAGCCACATGGTACTCCCCTCTTCTTTAGACCCAAGACTCTGCCACCTGGAAGTGACCCCATGGCTCAGAAGCAGCCTGGGCCACAAATTCCCAGGACAGGTCCTCATGAGGGTGCCTTCCAACCCGGGATGCGACCTTCCCAGTCACTCACCTCAAAGAAGGGGTGACTCTAGTAGCAGGTGGCTGCACCCTGACCTAAAGCCCATGAGTCCCAGGGCCGCTCTGCAGCACCACAAAGCACCAGCCACAGCTCAGCCTTGACCCAACCAGTTGAAGCTGAACCACCACCCACCAGGCTCAAGAAGGAGCTACTGGTGTGTCCCATTGCTCAACAGGGTCATTCGTGACAGTGGCCAAGGAGTGGGGCACGATCCTTGAATCTCCGCAGCCCCACCCCATGGGCCCGATCGCCCACCCATCCCAGGGACGGTGAGCCCCCAAGTGATCCCTGTGGCACCCCAGAGCCTCTGCTGTCCTGCCTATTTGTCCTGGGCAGTCATCGAGGACAGACCTGCAAACCGAGGCTTGGGCTGAGCTGCCCTGCATGAGACTGGAAGGAACTCCTTTCCAGACTGGACCACCGTCACCCTGCAGGGCTTCAGGAAGGCATCGTATTGGGTCTGATTCCCAGGAAGCTGATTTCCAGAGGACAAACCCATCTATCCACAGGTGGGGATTAAGGTCAACTCCCTGAGGAAACCCTCCTGCCTTTAAGGCACATTTGGTGACCCCATGCAGCCTGGCGCATGGCCCACGACCCCAGCAGATCCACTCCACCTATGCTGGTCAATGCCAGGTGCCCGCCTGGGTGGGAAGAGCTCACTAAAAGACACAGGGGAGAATGGTGGTCAGGAGGAGCTGCCCACGTGCCTTGCTCCTGTAGGAACAGGAGGGCTATCACAATAGGGAGCTGTGACTGCCTCACGGAGGAGAATAGAGACAGGGCTGGGCCCTCCAGATGCCCTTCAGGCTTCCAGGTCTCCAGCCCAAAATACAAATGGCTCTGCCAGTGTCCTCTTCCAAAACCCTCACCAGGCTGGGCCTCAGCGTAATCCTATTGAGCATGATTTTTAAGTCATCACCTCTCTTCAGGACAATATGGGGTTCTCATCATCGACTCCAACTCAGGCACCACCTCCCAGTGCATGCATCCAGCAGGACCGGATGCCTACCACAGCTCAGTGCAGGACACCAGGGTGCCAGGAAGTATTCAATGTTCAGTGCACCAGGGCTGACACCTAGCTGATGGACACTGCCTGGGGCCACTGGGCCCAATTCAAGTCTTCCTCCAGCCTCAACATCTGGGGAAACAGGAGTAGGACAGGCATCCAAACACAACCCCCATGCTCTCCCATGGAGGCAGAAGGTGGGTGTGGCGGCTCAGGGATACTTGCCTTCCATGGACCCATGTGATGGGATCCATGCAGACCACTGGCTCGTCTCGGACACAGGCACCCAATGCCTTCAACACCGGAACCCCGAGCTTATCATGGTAGGGTTACTGTTTTGGGTAAGAAGATTGCAGGTTCGAGAGGGAGCCTGAGAGATGATATCGAGGCAGCTCCCCGCACGACCCCAGATCACGCCAGAACTACTGGGCACAGTGACCAGCCATCAACCAGCCTGGGCAGCCAACCAAAGAGGCTGGCCCGGACAGGTGCCACTGCAAAGCTGGCAGTCACATAGCCTGCCTCCCTGTGCATTGTGGGCACACACCCAGGTGCCCTATCCCAGCATGAAATGGAAATCGCAACCTGGGGTCCCAGGGCCACATGCTTTCTCTGGTGGGTGCTCATCCATGCCCCACGCACCTCCTAAACACAGAGCAGGGCCACACTCGGCTAATTGGGGGACACATGGTGACTTCTCCTTTCCTTAGGTCCATGACCTCACACCTGAGGTGACCCCCGTGGCTCAGAAGCAGCATGGCAGCATATTCCAGGGTAAGACTCCTGACAGCAGGCCTTCCACCTTCAGGAGGCCACCCCCTGGGACTTGCCAACGGGGAAGGGGTGATTTCCAGCCACAGGAAGGGGAGATTCCTAGCAGGATGTGACCGACCCCTTGGCCTAAAGCTGACGTGAGTCCATGGCTGGACTGTAGCACCACCAGGCCCGCGAGAGCTCAGCCTTGACCCAAACCTAGGGAAATAGCACTGCCCCAACCAGGCCCAAACAGGTACCATGGAGGCCCATAGATCAACAGGGTCGGTCCCATTCAGGGCAATAAGTCCTGTGCGATCCTTAAATCTCTGCAGCTCAACTCCATGGGCCCTATGCCCACCTTTCTCCAGGGATGGGGAGCTCTTGTATGACCCCATTGTGTCCTGAAGCCCTTGTGGCCTCCTCAGTGGCCTGGTCAGTCCTCAAGGCCAGACGAGTACACCGAGACTCAGCTGGGAGCTGCCCCGCTTGAGACTGAAGGAACCCTTTCCTGCCTGGACCACCGTCATCCGCGCGCAGGGCTGCAGGAAGGCATCTCCTTGGGTCCGAGTTCCAAAAAAATCAGCCCTCTTGGAGGACCAATCCACCCTCCCCTGGTGTGGAATCGGTCGGTTGCCTGTGGAAACCCTCCTGTCTCAAAGGCTGACCCCTGGGTGACCCCACGATTGCCTGACTGATGACCCATGACCCCAGCAGGACCACTCACCTATGCTGGTCAGTGCCTGGGGCTGCACCTGCAGAAGAGCTCACTGAAAGACACAAGGGACAATGGGGGTTGTCAGGAACCGAGCACTGACACCAAGCCCACACAGGGAGCCTGGGCTGCCTCACAGAGGAGCACAGAGAAGGGGTCGATCCCCCATGAGATTCCATTCAGACCTCGCCCTAGCCCAAAATATTGGCCATTCCGGGGACTCCGGATCCCAGCATCTTCTTCCAAAATTCTCACCTAGGCTGGGCCTCAGCGTAATCCTATTGAGCATGATTTTTAAGTCAATACCTCTCTTCAGGACAATATAAGGTTCTCATCATCGACCTAACCCAGGGCACCGCCCCCCAACCGCCCGCCACCCATGCATTCAGTGGGGCACAGATGGGCTCACCGCAGCTCAGTGCAGCAGACCAGGGTGCCAGGAAGGGCCTGAGCTTCAGCTCACTAGGGCTGAGCAGCTGGCTGAGGAGACACTGGGCCAGAGCCAGCAGGCCTTAATGTGTCTTCCTCTGGGGTCACCATCTGGAGGGGTGGGGGACAGGTGTCCAAACAGAGCCTCATGTCTCCATGCAGGAAAGTGGGCAGGGTGGGGCTGGCTCACACATGCTCTTCCTCCATGGACTCATGAGATGAGATTCATAAAACTACGATGGCTGCGAACGCATGAACCCTTGGCCACTGAACCTGGAATGACAGGGCAGGCAGATCACAGGGGTTGCTAAAACACCCAGGTTGCACCCTACTGCAGGACCCTGGAGAACATCCACTGCCCATGCAAAATCCCCTGCCTGACTCTGGGCTGCACCAGACCACTGGGCAGGCCCACGGCCACCAACCAGCTCACAACAAACCAAGGAGGCTGGCCTGGATGCCACGTGCCACTGCAGACCTGGTAGTTACATGGCCTGCCCCTGGGCATGAAATGAACCCATCCAGGCACCCCCATAAGCTCACATTAGAAATTGCATCCCAACGCCCCAGGGCCGTGCCTTCTGGTGGGTCCTCATTCACGCACCGGACAACTCCCAAACACAGAGCTGGCCACTGCCAATCAGAGGCCATGTGATGTCCTCTCCTTCCTTCGGCTCAAGACCCTGCCACCCTGGAGGCACTCCATGGCTCAGAAGTAGCCTGGGCATCAAATTGCCGGAACAGGACCCTTAACAGTGGGCCTTCCACCACAGGATGCCACCCTTCCAGCTACTCCACTTCAGGTAGCGGTGACCTCCAATGGGACTCAGGCTGCACCCTTGGCCCAAAGCCCACGATTCCCAGGGCCAACCATGAGGTGCTGGCCAGAGCTCAGTCTTGACCCAAACCCACTGAGGCCACACCGCCCCACCATGCTCATGAGGCACCACTGGGGATGGCCCATTGCCCACAGGTCAGTCCCATCAGGCCATGGGTTGGGCCTAGTCCTTGAATCTTCACGGCCTGATTCCATAAGCTCAATCACCTACACCCTACCCCACTGCAAGCCTCAGGGACAGAGAGCTCCTGTATAACACCTGTGGCCCCTCGAGACACAGTGACCCCATCATGTGGCCTTGGAAGTTGCTCCAGGCCTGAGCCGTGCCCCAAGTCTCAGGAGCTGCACTGCATTGGGTTGAAGGAACCCTCCTGCCTGGACTCTCGTTACCCCGCAGGGTTTCAGGAAGGCGTCCTCTGGGATCAGCTTCAAGGAAGCTGCCCTCCTGAGAAACCAGCCATCCCTGGTGGGGACTCAGGCCAGGTCCCTCGTGGCCTGAAGGGTGACCTCAGCCATCCCTCGTGCCTGGCTCATGGCCCGTGACCCCAGCAAGATCCACCTACCTATGCTGCTCAAGGCCAGGGGCTCACCTGGGCAGAAGAGCTCACTGAAAGACAGAGGAGAACAGGGGCTCAGAAGGAGCTCCCAATGTGCCCTGCCCCCCAGGGAACCAGAGTGCCAACACCAAGTCTGCACAAGAAGCCCGGGCTGCCACACAGAGGAGAGTAGACAGGGTTGGGCATCCCGAGTGTGTCCTTTGGGGCCTCAAAGACTCCAGCCCAAAAATACAGTACCCTGCCAGGGACCTTTGGGATCCCAGCATCCTCTTCCAAAATTCCTTCCAGCTGGCCTCAGCGTAATCCTCTATTGGAGTGCGATTTTTAAGTCATCACCTCTTCAGGACAATATAAGGTTCTCATCATTGACTCCAACTCAGGGCACCTCCCCACGCATGCATCCAGCGGGACCCGATGTGCTCACTACAGCTCAGTGCAGGAGACCAGGGTGACCAGGAAAGGCCTGAGCTTCAGCGCACCAGGGCTAGGGGACCTGACTGATGACTACCGCCACGGGACAGCGGCCCAATGAAAGTTTTTCCTCTGGTCTCACCATCTGGGGACAGATGTGCATGCCCAAATGGAACCTCACGCCTCCACACGGGAAGGGGGTGGGGGGTGCCAGCTCATGATTGTTTCCTCCCCACCACGGACCCATGATGGGATCCATGTGAAACACTGACATGTCATGGACGTGGGGGAACTCAGGTTTCTCCCACCACCGAACCCTGGAAGGACAGGGCAGGTGCGGTCACTGGCCCAGGCAAGCACACTCCTGGCTATCTGCAGGCACCTTGGAGAACTCTACTGCCCACTCCAGTTACCCCGCATGACCCCAGGGCTGTACTGGCCTCTGGTGCGGGCCAGGCCACCTACCATCTCACAGTCAACTAAGGAGGTTGACCTGGATGCCAGTGCACTGTTCATCTGGCAGTGGCATAGTCTGCCCCTGTGTGTGGAGGGCGAGCACCCAGGCCCCACTCCATACCACACCAGAAATTGCAGCCTGGGACCTAGGCCTCGTGTGTTCTCTCTGATACATCCCCATCCATGCCTCACACAACACCTCCCATACACAGAGCGGGGCCACACTAGCCAATCGGGAATGCATGGTGCCCTCTTCACCTTTCCTTGACCCCACCACCTGTAGGTGGCCCAGCTTCTCAGAGGCAGCCTGACATGGGGTCCTTCACAGCAGGCCTTCCCACCCTCAGGAGGACACCCTTCCCGCTACTCACCCACAAAGAAGGTATGACCCCCAGTGGGACATGGGCTATATGCTTGGCCCAAAGCCCACGAGTCCCAGGGCCAGACTGCAGTACCATCATAGGGTCACTGGAGCTAGTCTTGACTCCATCCTCATGGGAAACAGCACCACTCCACACTCTGCCTCAAAGAGGCACCCACTGGGATGGCCCATAGCTTAATAGTATTACCCTATCTAGGCCATGGTTTAGAGAGATCCTTGAAAATCTGGCCTGGACTCCCAAGGGCCAAATCACACACACACACCTCCAAGGTCACAGCCTCTGCAAGACCTCAGCCTCAGAGCCCTTGTGGTCCCCCACGTGGCCTGGCCATCCTACAGGCCTGACGAGCACTGAGTCTCAGCCTGCTGCTGCCCTGCATGGGGCTGAGGTCCCTTACTGCCTGGACCCATCGCAACCCCTGGAGGGCTTCAGGGAAGGTAACCTCTGGGTCCACCCCTAAGAAAGCTGCCTTCCTGGAGAACCCATCCCAGGTGGGGATTCACTTCAGCTCCTGAAGAAACCCTTGTGGCCAAAGGATGACCCCTTGAGACCACATAGCCTGGCCTATGGGCCATGACCCTGGCAGGATCTACTCACCTATGCTGGTCAATGCCAGGGGGTCTGCTGGGCACAAGAGCTCACTGAAAGACACAGGGGAGAATGGGGGCTCAGGAGGAGCCGCCAAAGTGCCCCACCCCTGGGTAACAGGAGCGCTTGGACAATTGGCCCACATAGTGAGCCTGGGCTGCCCACAGAGGAGTGCAGAGACAGGTTGGGCAATCTCCAGATGCCCTCAGAGCCTCCAGGTCTGCAAGCAGCCCAAAATACAGTGGACCTCACAGGGAACTCATGTTTCCCAGCATCCTCTTCCAAAAATCTCCTCAGGCTGGGCCTCAGTGTAATCCTATTGAGCATGATTTTTATGTCATCACCTCAGACAATATAAGGTTCTCATCATCACCCAACCCAGGGCACCCGCCACCCACACATGTGATCTGTGCAGTGACCGAGATGCTCAATGCTTCAATGCAGGAGACCAGGCCCAGGAGGCCTGAGCCGCGCAACAGGGTTGGGCAACTGGCTCATGGCCATCAGCCTGGGGCCAGCGGGCACAATGCAAGTCTTCCTCTGGGGTCACCATCTGGAGGGACAGGGGATAGGTGTCCAAACAGGGCTTCACGCCTCTGTTTGGGAAAGGGAGGAAGGTGTGCTGGCTCACACATGCTCTCCCTCCATGGACCCATGTGATGGGATCTATATGAAATAACGACAATCATGGACCCAGGGAACCCTTGGCCCTCCCCGCCACGAAACCCTCAAAGGACAGGGCAGGCGAGTCACTGGATCTGTGCAAGAAGCCTCAGGCTGTGCCATACAGCAGCCCCTGTGCACCTCCACTGCCCATGCTGGCTCCACAACACGACTCTGACCACAACAAACCCCCTGGGCAGGGTCCAAGGTCATCAATCAGCTTACGGTACAACTAATAGAGGTTGCCCATGCCAGGTAATTGCTGTTTATCTAGCAGTCTCACAGCCTGCCCTGTACAGGAGGCACACCAGCTCAGGCTCCCTCTCCTACACGCACCAGCAATCGCAGCCTGGGTCAAGCACCATGTGCTTTCTCTGGTGGTCCTCACACACACCCCAGACCCTGTCAAACACAGAGCTGGGCCAACACTTGACACCAGGAGCTACATGGTGCCCTCCCTTTCTTTGGGCTCAAGACCCCACCATCCTGGAGGTGACTCCCATGATCTAGAGCAGCCTGGGCCACAAATTCTGGTGACAGGTCCTCATGAGGGGGCTTTCTTCAATCTGGGGACGTGAATCTTCCAACACTCGGACTCGGAATAAGGGGTGACTCTAGCAGCAGGCGGGCTGCATCCTTGACCCAAAGCCCATGAGTCCCAGGTCGGCTCTTACAGCACGACAAAGCATGAGCCATGGCTCAGCCTTGACCCAACCAGTTGAAGCCGAGTCGCCAACCACCAGGCTTATGGAGGCGCCACCGGGGTGGCCTCCATTGCTCAACAGGGTCATTCGCACTTAGTGCCATGAGTGGGCATGATCCTTGAATCTCCACAACCTGACCCCATGGGCCTGATTGCCCACCCTCTTGGGAAGGAGAGTCCCCCGTGTAATCCCTGTCCCACCCCAGAACCTCTGCTGTCCTGCCTTATTTGTCTTGGGTGTTCGAGGAAAGACTCATGCACCAAGTGTCAGCTGGGAGCTGCCCGCTGAGACTGAGGAACCCTTTTTCAAGACTGACCACTGTCACCCTGCAGGGCTTCAGGAAGGCATCGTCTTGGGTCTGATTCCCAGGAAGCCACCTCCTGGAGGACAAAACCCATCTCTCCACAGTGGAAATTCAGGTCGACTTCGAGAAATTCTTTTTTGCTTGATGGTGACATTTAGGATTTCCGGAGGAGGCTTTGGATTTCGACATTGAGGGAGCTTACTTGTGGATCCACTCCACCCATGCTGGTCACTCAGGAGTCTGCTGGGCAGAAGAGCTCACTGAAAGACACAGGGGAGAATGGGGGCTCAGGAAGGAGCCACCAAAGTACCCTGCCCCCAGGTAAGGGGAGGGCCGACACCAAGCCCACATAGTGAGCCTGGGCTGCCTCATGGAGGAGCACAGAGACAGGGTTGGGCACCCTCCAGATGCCCTCAGAGCCTCCAGGTCTCTAGCCCAAAAAATACAGTGGACCTCACAGGGAACTCATGTTTCCCAGCATCCTCTTCCAAAATTCTCACCCAGGCTGGGCCTCAGCGTAATCCTATTGAGCATGATTTTTATGTCATCACCTCTCTTCAGACAATATAAGGTTCTCATCATCGACCCAACCCAGGGCACCCCCTCCCCACACAGGTATCCAGCAGGACCAAGATGTGCTCACCAAGCTCAATGCAGGAGACCAGGGCCCAGGAGGGCCTGAGCTTTAGCTCAACAGGGGCTTGGCAACTGGCCACTGGCCTGGGTCCAGTGGGCACAACGCAAGTCTTCCTCTGGGGTCACCATCTGGAGGGACAGGGGACAGATGTCGAAACGGGGCTTCGCACCTCTGTGCGGGAAAGCGAGGAGGGGGTGCTGGTGCTCACATGCTCTCCCTCCATGGACCCATGTGATGGGATCTATATGAAATAATGACAGTCATGGACCCAGGGAACCCTTGGCCCTCTCTGCCACCAAACCCTCAAAGGACAGAGTAGGCGAGAGACTGGGTTCAGGCAAGATGCCCAGGCTGTGCCAGCAGCCCCTGCAGCACCTCCACTACCTACGGTGGCTCCACTGCATGACTCTGGACAACAACAGAACCCCTGGGCAGGGTCCAAGGTCACCAACCAGCTCACGGCCAACCAAGGAGGCTGGCCTGGATGCCAGGCACTGCCGCTGACCTGGCAGTCCCACAGCCTGCCCCAGTACAGGGAGGACACCCACCCAGGCTCCCTCTCCAAGCACGCACCAGAAATCGCAGCCTGGGGTCCAGGGCCACATGCTTTCTCTGCTGGGTCCTCATCCACATCCCAGACCCCTGTCAAACACAGAGCTGGACCACACTTGGCCAATCAGGAGCCACAAGGTGCCCCCTCCTTTCCTTGGGCCCAAAACCCTGCCACCCTGGAGGTGACCCCATGGCTCAGAAGCAGCCTGAGCAACAAATTCCTGGGATAGGTCCCTCATGAGGGGGGCCTTCCAACCTCGGGATGCAACCCTTCCCACCATTGACCTCGAAGAAAGGGTGACCCCCAGCAGCAGGCGGGCTTCACCCTTGACCCAAAGCCCATGATTCCAGGGCTGGCCTGGAGCACCATGAAGCACCAGCCATGGCTCAGCCTTGACCCAACCAGTTGAAGCCAAGCTGCCACCCACCAGGTTCCAGGAGGTGCCACTGGGGTGGCCCATTGCTCAACAGGGTCATTCGCATTCAGGGCCATGAGTGGGGTGTGATCCTTTAATCTCCACAGCCTGACCCCACGGGCCCAACTGCCCACCCCTCTCTGGGGAAGGGACAGACTCACACACCACGTGTCAGCTTGAAGCTGCCCTGCGTGAGACTAAAGGAACCCTTTCCAGACTGGACCACTGTCACCCCTGCAGGGCTTCAGGAAAGGCATCGTCTCGGGTCTGATTCCCCAGGAAGCCGCCTTCCTAGAGGACAAACCCATCTCTCCACAGTGGAAATTCAGGTCGACTCCCTGAGGAAACCCTCCTGCCTGAAGGCTAATACTTGGTAACCCCACACGCAGCCTGACTCATCACCCATGATGCCGCCAGGATCCACTCACCTATGCTGGTCAATGCCAGGAGTCTGCTGGGCAGAAGAGCTCACTGAAAGACACAGGGGAGAATGGGGGCTCAGGAAGAACACCAAGTACCCTGCCCCAGGTAAAGGAGGGCTGACACCAAGCCCACATAGTGAGCCTGGGCTGCCTCATGGAGGAGCACAGAGAGAGCCACCAAAGTACCCTGCCCCCAGGTAAGGGGAGGGCCGACACCAAGCCCACATAGTGAGCCTGGGCTGCCTCATAGAGGAGTGCAGAGACAGGGTTGGGCACCCTCCAGATGCCCTCAGAGCCTCCAGGTCTCTAGCCCAAAAAATACAGTGGACCTCACAGGGAACTCATGTTTCCCAGCATCCTCTTCCAAAATTCTCACCCAGGCTGGGCCTCAGCGTAATCCTATTGAGCATGATTTTTATGTCATCACCTCTCTTCAGACAATATAAGGTTCTCATCATCGACCCAACCCAGGGCACCCCCTCCCCACACAGGTATCCAGCAGGACCAAAATGTGCTCACCAAGCTCAATGCAGGAGACCAGGGCCCAGGAGGGCCTGAGCTTTAGCTCAACAGGGGCTTGGCAACTGGCCACTGGCCTGGGTCCAGTGGGCACAACGCAAGTATTCCTCTGGGGTCACCATCTGGAGGGACAGGGGACAGATGTCGAAACGGGGCTTCACGCCTCTGTGCGGGAAAGCGAGGAGGGGGTGCTGGTGCTCACATGCTCTCCCTCCATGGACCCATGTGATGGGATCTATATGAAATAATGACAGTCATGGACCCAGGGAACCCTTGGCCCTCTCTGCCACCAAACCCTCAAAGGACAGAGTAGGCGAGAGACTGGGTTCAGGCAAGATGCCCAGGCTGTGCCAGCAGCCCCTGCAGCACCTCCACTACCTACGGTGGCTCCACTGCATGACTCTGGACAACAACAGAACCCCTGGGCAGGGTCCAAGGTCACCAACCAGCTCACAGCCAACCAAGGAGGCTGGCCTGGATGCCAGGCACTGCCGCTGACCTGGCAGTCCCACAGCCTGCCCCAGTACAGGGAGGACACCCACCCAGGCTCCCTCTCCAAGCACGCACCAGAAATCGCAGCCTGGGGTCCAGGGCCACATGCTTTCTCTGCTGGGTCCTCATCCACATCCCAGACCCCTGTCAAACACAGAGCTGGACCACACTTGGCCAATCAGGAGCCACAAGGTGCCCCCTCCTTTCCTTGGGCCCAAAACCCTGCCACCCTGGAGGTGACCCCATGGCTCAGAAGCAGCCTGGGCAACAAATTCCTGGGACAGGTCCCTCATGAGGGGGCCTTCCAACCTCGGGACGCAACCCTTCCCACCATTGACCTCGAAGAAAGGGTGACCCCCAGCAGCAGGCGGGCTTCACCCTTGACCCAAAGCCCATGATTCCAGGGCTGGCCTGGAGCACCATGAAGCACCAGCCATGGCTCAGCCTTGACCCAACCAGTTGAAGCCAAGCTGCCACCCACCAGGTTCCAGGAGGTGCCACTGGGGTGGCCCATTGCTCAACAGGGTCATTCGCATTCAGGGCCATGAGTGGGGTGTGATCCTTGAATCTCCACAGCCTGACCCCACGGGCCCAACTGCCCACCCCTCTCTGGGGAAGGGACAGACTCACACACCACGTGTCAGCTTGAAGCTGCCCTGCGTGAGACTAAAGGAACCCTTTCCAGACTGGACCACTGTCACCCCTGCAGGGCTTCAGGGAAGGCATCGTCTTGGGTCTGATTCCCCAGGAAGCCGCCTTCCTAGAGGACAAACCCATCTCTCCACAGTGGAAATTCAGGTC